GTCAGGCCGCAGCGGTCCTTGCTCGGCCTTTCAGCACAGACACAAACCCTTCCTTCCCCCCGCCCCGAGAGCCTTAGAGAACAAGCCATGCGAGGTGAAGCTGAGGGAACCGGGCATGTTTAGTTTGGAGAAAAGGAGGCTTAGGGGAGACCTCATTGCCCTCTACAACTACCCGAAAGGAGGTTGTAGAGCGGTGGGGGTTGGCCTCTTCTTCTAAGGGAATAACGACAGGACCAGAGGAAATGATCTAAGTTGCGGCAGGGGAGGTTTAGATTAGATATTAGGAAGAGTTACTTTCCTGAGAGAGTGATCAGGCACTGGAACAGCCTGCCCAGGGAGGTGGTGGAGTCACCTCGTACAGTGAGGGTGGAGGATGGAGATAGGTGGAGGGTGGTCTCAAAGGTCCCTTCTGACCATGAAGATTCTGTGATTCTGTTGCTTCTGCTGTGCCCTGTCCCTCCCCGAGCCCCGCCACAAGCACCTGCCTCATGGGAGGCACCGACCGACCGTAACCCCCAGAGTGGAGTGTCCCTTGGAAAACTCCCTGCCCCCAGGGGAGGGAAAGTGCTGCCTCGGCTGTTGGTGTGGGGAGCAAACCGGGGAGAAGAGGCTGGTGCTAACGCTGTTCTCTCTGCCTGGTGTTCTGCAGGAATTCCCTTTGATGGTGGGCTGCGCTGCCTCTGCTGGAAGGTGGGTTTCGCTTGGGGCACTTCTTGTTTATCACCAGTTGCTTAAGCGCATGCTATTTTGAGGCACTTACAACTGTAAACAAACAAACAAATTCCAGAGCTTAAAAGCCACTCAAAATTGACACTAGTTTGTGGAGATCAGCACTGGCATAATCGCAGTAGCATTTGCAGGCTCAGGACAGCCATTGCTTTGGATGATAGAAAGTGCTGCAAGGTCTCTGCTCTCTGCCTGAGAACAGCCCTCAGTATTAAGCTAGGGGTGCGTTTCAGCCAGGTGTGCTATTGAGCAATCCTACAAATAGGTCTGTGTTGAAAACCAGTCCCTGAAATATTGCTGACTCTCGCTTGGCAAAGTACTAGGCTTTCTGGAGAAAGCTCCCAGTATTTTCAGAGAGCCCCTGTGTTTGGTTTGCTCCTCTTGCAGGTACAACAGCTCATTCTCCAAATGCTAATTTGTCTGCATCTGTCTTCTGTACAGATACTCCTGAACTACCTCCCTTTAGAGAAAGCCTTATGGAGCTCTTTGCTGAAGAAACAGAGGTGAGGTCATGGGCACTTGCTCCTTTATTTCTAATGATATCTGCAGAGAAGGAGAATAGTTCCTTAAATAATTAAGTACCTTCATAAAATGAATTGTTCTTGTGTGGAATGCGCTGTTCTGTAGGCTCTCTCCTGGGTCTGGTGGATTGACCTTTCCAGATGAACTCAGCTGCAGAGAAAATCAAATGCCCTCTGGCTGAGCAGGGTGGTACAGAGTGATCTGTTTGAACTCAGTCTGGGCGCTTATGTTGACTTAATCTTGTGCTTCAATGCTAATTCCTCTTTTCTTCCTTAAGGGATCTGTATTCCCAGTTCCTAAAGGAAATGATTATCCAGCCTGGGATCGCCAAAGCGAACATGGGTGTTTCAAGGGAAGATGTGACCTTAGAAGATCATGTAAGTGTTGTTAATCCTTTGGGCTGCAGAAAATTCCCCAGAATTATAAGCTGCTGTTCTGAAGTCTGAACCCCTGGGCTGCTCGTGGCTCTGTTCTCAGCTGTTTTGCCCTGCTAGCAGGAGGGACGGTTCCTAGGTACCAGCCTGGCACTTAGGTCTTAGTAGCCTTTGGTGTGAATTATTGGCAAAGCACCAGTAGTTCTGAAGAGAGCTAATTTTCAACTGTGCATATCCCTTGTGCCCTCCTGTGGGGGCAGCTGCCCAGGCTGTGGGTCCCCAAGGGAAAGGGAGAGGCTCACCAGAGGTATCTCTAGCAAAGAGGCACTCTCCTGAGAAGTCGGGTTAATGGTGGACTCAGGGCTGGCTAATCTGAACACAAGATATAAAAAAGGCAGGAGAGTCAAGTTGGACTATGGCACAGAAGGCAGGAGACTTATTTCTGCAGCTGGCTTTTTTTTTTTTTTAATTGACTATTTCATGCATCCCTTGACTTTCCTTCTCTGAAAGCACCATTAAGAGTATATGTGTTGGGGGAGGGAATGAAGTAACTGATCAGAAGATACTGTAAATTGATACAAGTGCTTCCATGACTGGTCCCAAATGTTAACTTCTCTGCTAGTGTGCAGTCACCTGTGCTGCTGTGATCTCTGGAGGCCTTGGTGCTGTAAAACTCACATGTTTGTAAAACTCCACACGTTGGCAGGTTACGGTGATCTTTGAATCTCTCAGAACGTTGGGGGTTTTTTATTTCTTTTTTCCTTGGTTAGTTGTTAACTTTGCATGGGTCTTGATGTGGAGCGAGGAAATTGTGTGTGTGGAGCGGGAGTTAAGTTTATCATATTGGAAAAACGGTCAGATACAGGATAGGTTGTTCATAGTAATGTGTATTTCCCTTTTCCTGGGCAGGGGGGTGGTGCTTAATCAGCCTTCTCGGAGCTGAGATAGAAGGGGATCCTTGTAACAAATAACCACGGCGCTGAAGTACTCTGTGGGTGGGAAGCTCTTACCCCTGAGTACAAAGACCATCTCCGCTGTACAGATTGGAGCTGCAATCAGGAATCTTGTTGACACAGGACAGGATACCTGGTTTGGGAACAAAAGTCATTAAGAGGCAGGTGAAAAGGGATTGGAAACATTGGCTTCTGCCTCTCTGGGTGGACCTGCACACTCTTTTGTTTCACAAGCTCTGATTGCTTCCTGCAGGCTGTGTGAAGAAGCAACACTAAACATTGCTAGTGAGAGGAAAAAATCAAACCTGATGTGCTAGGAGTGTGCTGGTACTAGATGATAGAGGGACAGCAGAAATGTTAAATCCATATATATTTAGTGAGACTTTCGATACGTGTGAAACATGCTTATTCTGTTTCTGTTGTTTATTTCTTCAGCCCCTCAATCCAAATCCAGACAGTCGATGGAATACTTACTTCAAGGATAACGAAGTGCTTCTCCAGATAGACAAAGATGTCAGGTGTGTGTGGCACTTTGTACTTTGAAAACAAAGTTGAATATTAAACTGAACCTCCCATTCAAGATGGGGCATGTACTTCCTCCTCCTTATGCCTGATTTCTTCCTGTATCCATCCTAGGAGGCTGTACCCCGACATGGCATTCTTCCAGCGCCCCACGGACTACCCCTGCCTTTTAATCCTGGACCCCCAAAATGAGTTTGAGACGCTGCGCAAGCGGGTGGAGCAGACCACGCTCAAGTCACAGACGGTGGCACGGAACCGCAGCGGGGTTACGAATGTGAGACCTCGGTGGGGACTGTCTGTGGGGCAAGGCATCTCAGCTGATAAGGGGAAGGGTGTTTCTTGGGCTTTTTTTTCTCTCTCTGCTTTTACGGTGGAATTGGGCAAATACTCCAGCAGGTACTGTTCATTCTGGTAGCCAGGCAGGTTTGGAGAACCAGTTGATGTGCCTCATGGTTGGTAGGGAAGTATACATGTATTTAATTTAAGGGTTATTTTTTCTGACTTCTGGTGGAAGTTCCAGGAAGATGCAAGTATTTTATGCTTGACATGTGCCTTTCTGTATGGGAACAAAACACTGAAAGGATAACTTATTGAAGTTGAATTTACTTAATCTTCCAGAACTGGAAGATGCAATTAAACTTGCAATTGGGAAAAGAGCTGGGTATCTCTGAAGTGTATGTCATCTCTTTCCTCTTTCGTGAGCGTGACAGTCCAAGTGCCACATGCTGTTGGGGAAGGTGGCTGGCTGCCATGACAGATTTATATTTTTCCTCATCCTACTAACAAAGAAGTGGAACTGCTGCGGTTTCTTACCGCGTGGGATCAGGTGATGCAATGATTCAGGGGAACTCTCTGTTGCTGCACAGGCTGCTTTGTTCTTCAGGGATTGCCAGGGCTAGGACTTCACTGCATTTGTGCTTTTTGAGTTACTTCTTTTGTTTTATGTGAAAACCTGCCTGCTTGATGTAAGTTGCCCAAAGCATCGTGTGCCAGTTGGTTATCCTGAATCAGCCCTGGTCTTGCCTTGCTTTTCAGGTGAGCTCCCCTCTTAAAACAACACCGAATTCTCTGAGCGAGTACGAGGTTCTGCCCAATGGCTGTGAAGCTCACTGGGAAGTGGTGGAGCGGATCCTGTTCATCTATGCCAAGCTGAACCCCGGGATAGCGTACGTTCAGGGCATGAATGAAATCGTGGGGCCTCTTTATTACACCTTTGCTACAGATCCTAACAGTGAATGGAAAGGTGAGAGACTCTTGGCTGCTCAGTAATGACATGCTCTCTGTGTAAAGTACTGTTTCAGGAGCAAGACTTGCTTTAAATGACTCTTGTTGACTGATTGGGACCAAAAAGCAAATACATCAAGAGATGAGGAGTTTTGGGGACCGCAAAAGATGGATAGAAACTGAATGGGCTGTGAGTGGTGAGGACAAGGGAAGTGAGAGGTTTTGAGGGGTTTCCTCTTTGTTTTGCATGGATCTAAGTTGCACTTCGTGAAACTTTAAAGTCCATTTAGAAGCTCTTGTTTGGTTGTACTGTATGATACCTGGTAAGAAGAGAATGCAATGGGAGCACTTTGCCTGTTGCTTCTACTTCATGGGTGCTCTGAGGGTGTGTGCTGATGGTGGGAAGAGCAGATGGTGTTCTTGGGCAAAGATAACTGGTTTGTGACCCGATGTCATGAAGACCTTGTGTTGCACACAGGGTCTTTGTTTGCAGTGACTCTGTAGACATTTCTAGTTTAAAAAAGTGTCTGGTTTTGTCCCAGACCAAGCAAGCCACGGTCTTGTGGATCTGGTACTTGAATCCAGTACAGCAACCAGATTATGGAGCAAGAACAGTCTCTCTGCTTCTGCCAGTGGTGGTTCCTCTATTCCCATACCTTTTTTTTTTTTTTTTTTTCCTCTCAGAACATGCTGAAGCAGACACATTTTTCTGCTTTACCAATCTAATGGCTGAAATTCGGGACAACTTCATTAAGAGCCTGGATGATTCTCAGTGTGGCATTACCTACAAAATGGAGAAGGTCTACTCTACCCTGAAGGAAAAAGATGTGGAGCTGTATTTGAAACTGGTGAGGAGCTTGGCGTTTTTCTGAGTCTTGATTGGAGTGCAAGGAGTGGAGCTTAATAATGCATTTAAATGTCAACCAGTTTTGTTAAATTGTTACTATGCTTGAATAGAAAAGTTGAGAGAGCCTATGAAGGGCTTTGTCTGTAGGGCATAGAGGCTCTTATCTATGAACTGAAACAACCGCTCCTTGGAGTAAGCCTGGAGCAAGCTGACACAGCAAGGCTTTCCTCCCCTGCCTGACCACGAGAGCAAACAATAGTTGTTGCAAAGCTGCCAGCTGTGAGTCCAGAGTGACTTGGCCACGATCCCGTGTCACCTGGGCTGAGGCTGGAGTCTTCACTCCCTTCTACTCATCAGGGAAAACATGAGGTTTTGCTGTAGAGTTCCTTTGAATCTGAGGTTACAGGAATTGTGTCTCCAATAACAAAACAAAAACCAGCCCCCTCCTCCATGCACACATTCCTATTGCCACTGGCTGCCCTGACAACACTGACTTAAACTGCATGGAGGTCATTCCAGAAGAAAAGTGAAATCCAGCAGGCTTGGACCATCCCACCCACCTAATTCTATCATTCTCCTTCATCCAGGAGTCTCTCAGTCCCTTGGGTTTGTGTGGGTTTTGTAGAATATATAGAAGGCGGCTTTTGCTGAAAATATCTTCAGGTCTTACAGTCCACTTGGTGTGAAAGTCCAAGGAGAAATGTGAAGGGAAATCTGTTCTTGTTACTCCAGCCTTCATCAAATCACTGAGATTTTTTTTGTGTTTAGAAAAATCGGATTATATTTATCTTACAATCCAAAAGATGGTTTGTCAGCACCCACAGTGTTGGCTGGTGGCTGATTCAGTGGGGAGAAAGTAAATTGCTTACTGTGTGGCTGGCAGGAAATGGTCTTGGCCATGCAGCAGCTGGTCCTTAAGAATATCAGCAGGATCCTGAACTTGTTTGACCTTGATTAAATGTATGGTTCCTTGGATTTAACAGCGGAAGACAAGAAAGCTTCAGGCTAGAAGTGCTTACGGTGTGCGTTACTGACCATTAGTGTGAACTCTGTTCCATCTTTGTTTCTTGTTGTGAATAGTAAACCTTTTGATAAATACAGGGCTTCTGGAAAGGAGAGGAAATCCTGACAAAACAGTGCCTCTGCTAGAGGAGGAGGGCTGCAGCTTTGCAGATAAAATGCTGTTCAAATGGGAACATTAAAGTTACTTGGCAAGTTTAACGGAACTAACACAAATAGTGCCTTTAGGAAGAAAAGTTTCCTTTACTCCATGTTGTGGACAGAGGGGGATTTTCTGTCTTGTCTGTAGACATGGTGCATGGCTGCCCTGGAAATCTCTGTCTAGCTTGAATGTGAGGGTCTTCAAAGAAGACAGTGGGTTTACTGATCTTCCAGCATGAGTTGGCAGCTTAGGGTGACGTTGGGGTGGAGATGGGGATGGAAACATGGGGTGCATCTCTTATTGTAGGGAACTGGCGGAGAGCACGTACTCATTCTTTGCCTGGTGCATGTCTGACAGCAAGAACAGAACATCAAACCCCAGTTCTTTGCCTTCCGCTGGCTGACGCTGCTCTTGTCCCAAGAGTTCCTGCTGCCAGACGTCATCCGTATCTGGGACTCCCTCTTTGCTGATGATAAACGCTTTGATTTTCTTCTGCTCGTCTGTTGTGCCATGTTGACGTAAGTACCTAGGTAGCCTTCTTGCTCTTCTCTTCCTTCTTTTACTTAAATCTGTGGATCGAGGAGTCTTCTCTAGGCATGTGTCAAAGCATCTGGTGAATAGGTTATAGTCACTGTTCACAAAAGCCTCTATAAAGGGCACAGCATAGTCTGCTTTTAAAATTCCTCTTTAAAGAGTCAAAAGTAGCTGGAATAATTTCCATCTTTCAGACTAATCCGGGATCAGTTGCTGGAAGGAGACTTCACTCTGAACATGAGGCTGCTACAGGTAAGGATTAAATCTAGTGGGCATAGGGAGCATTTTCAAGAGTCTTAAAATAGCACTGTGAGGGAGGATGACAGTATGAGACAGCATATGCCTGGCTGAAGAGAAGTACCAGATCTTGGATGTTTGCGTGCAGAGAAGTCTTAAGGGATCTTACAGTGTGCTCATTACTGGAGTGTGAATCTTTTGCTTGAGTACCCATTCTAGCCTACAGAGAAATTGTCGTAGACTAGAGGTTTCTAAGGTTCCTTTGGTTTGCAAAACACTTGAATAATTTTGAGCAAAGATGTGAAACTCTGTGTAAGAATATTAAATTTGTTGGCTGGAGGTTTCTGTTTAGTTCTGAGATGTGTGAGAGCCCAGGGTTGGACACACCTGCACTGCACAGTAAGATATATCCGATTCTGCCAGTTCCTGCTTTGGGCTGTGCAAGATACTGGCTTTGATAAGGCTTTCTGGCACAGAGATAGCCCTTGTAGCTGCCAGCTTACTGTACCCTTGGAGGACAAATGGAAAAAAAAACCAAACAAAACAAACAAAAACCTTCTTGAAGGGTATTGAAGCTTGATCAGTTACAAAACAGGAAACTGTTAGCTGTTGAGGGAGTAACTGAACATGGCAGTGTGTTGTTATAGGCAAGGAATGCTGCTGTCAAGGTTTGCCTTGCTTAAGTGAAACAGTGTGTGCAAGAAACGCTCGGCAGTGACTTACATCCCTTCGTTTCATTGATGCAGGATTATCCCATCTCTGATGTTCGTCTGATTTTGAAGAAGGCAAAGGAACTTCAAGATTCCAAATAGTGCACAAGCCTAACAAAAGGTGTCAGAGAAACTGTATAGCAGCGGATCCTGGGAGATGCCCCCACGCAGAGTGGTGCATTTAAGTTCCTGGTGGTCCCTGCAGGACTTCAGGTTTCATGTTTGGGCTACTGGCCACCTTGAAGACTTCCTTCTACTCTATTTATTAGGTCAAGGACTGATTACTTCCCCATCTACTTGGGTCCTGCACTCCAGATTTTTTTTCAAATCTCAAATGCCTCTGTGCTGCTAAAAGCAGTTCTTTGTATCTTTTTTAATGACTTTAAGTCTTGGGAGAAAGAAGCTGTCTGTCTGCATATCCCTGAAGGGGTGTACTCCTGTATCATGGAAGTAACACATGGAGTAACTTCTGATGGGGAAGGGACAGGCTGAGTCCAGTGGATTTTGGTTGTTGAGTATGGAAAGATCTTCCTCCTGTGAATAGAATGTATTCCAATGAAGTCACACATCCTGCCATTCAAGTAGCTTCTGGATTCTTCTCCCTTGTGTCTGCACTTGGCCATCCCTGGGTTGTGCAAAGAAGATGGCATCAGCTTCTGGTGATTGTCATCTGACATCTGGCCGTTTGGACCCCTTTGCCTGGGAAAGATCTTGAGAAGCTGAGATGGGAGGACACAGTTGCAGCTGGTGGCTCTGTGCACTGAAACTGCCTGAATCCAGAATCGCCTTATCAACAAGGTCTCGCTGAAAGCAAGACTCTGGTGGTTTTAAATCAATGAGTGAAGCGTAGCTTGAAGTTGAGCCTTACCACACACAGCCTTAGAGCAGGAGCTTGTTGCTGCAGGGAGGCCTCAAGCTGCTTTCCTGGCTCTGGACTGGAGCACATCCAGCTACAATCAGGATTCTGAAATACAAGAAATGGGCATCTACTTGCGTGCAATGAAGACAGACATATTTAGGGGCTTGTACAGGCATGGCACTGGAGTTTTCTACCTCAGTGGCTTGCATAACATTGCCCTGAGTAAGCTCTGGTCACAGTAACCTTGAAGAAGACATGGTACAGGTCCAACCTACAATTGAGAATCCTTTTCTGGTCTCTACCAGTGGGCGTAAAAGCATTTCAGTCATTAGCTGACTGCTGGGGCTGATCCACTCTTCTGTGTACTGGTCCTGTTGGAGACACAGTCATCCACAGACAGTTGGACACTCATCCCTCCTGAGAGGGGGAAACTTGTGCATTTCAAATACAGTGGAGCCAGCTCAGGTGGACATTGACAAACTACGGAGAGATCTGCTAACCTGCTGGCAGTGTCCAGCTGGTCAGAAACTGTAGTCCTCAGAAGGAGAAACTGCCAGCACAGAGGTGCTTGGGTGGTGCAGAAGCTCTTGAGTGAACACTAATCCAGCGTGCTTTTCCCTTTCTGTGCTGTGCTGTGCTGGCTCACCTCCGCATAGCTGTTTGACACTGCAGTTTTTGGTATTTATGGCTATTGATTTGTTAAACGTCAGTGTTCTTTGTAAGATCTGCTTAAGCTGCTGCTGGCCTAGAATCACCCTAGCAGGAGGGATGTCGTCAGCCTTCAGCTTTTCTACTAGTGGTGTTTCCTTCACTGAAGGCCAGTCCTTTACAGGCTACTGTAATGCTCACAGAGGTGGGTGAGGAGACCAGAGGACAGGTTGATGCATGTATCTATGTTCTTGGCAATCCCAAGCAATCTCTGCCTCTTCAGAAGATGCTCGAGCAACACTGGTGCAGCCAGGTGTTGCTGCTGTGGCGGAGCAAGAGCAACTGGAGACTTAAAACAATCTGTAATTAATACTTGTGGCTAACGATATCCCTCTCTGCTGCGGTCCTTTCTAGAGGGTAGTGTTTTCCTCCAAGAAACATGGAACCAGTAGGCCAGGAGAGCTGTGTGATGAGATGCAGCATCCTGTCTGCTCTAACTGCTGGATGGAGTTTCTTCTTGTCTTGTATTGCTGACCTGTTCCAGGTGGTCTCACCTTTAGATTACTCTGCACTAGAGGCCAGTAGTCAGACCTCGTATGGCCAAACGGCTAGCTGTTAGGCACAAATGTAGAAGCAGAGGGTCTGCCAAACACTTGTGCCTCAGAGTTGCTCTGAATACTGCTGTAGCTCTCTTCCATTCTGTGCATAACCTCTGCTCCCACCTTCCCAATACCTGGGCTGTCTGTTTTGGGTCCCCCTGGCAAGTGCAGGGTTCCATTAACTCTTTTTTTCACTAGTAACAGGAGTGTCTGTGAGGGTTCCTCCTCTGAAAAGCTAGAAGTCTCCTTAAAATAACCTGAGAAGGCAGCAGGCAAATCAGGATTAAAGCATTACTTGTAGATGAACTTCTGCTTGTTTTCAGAGTAGTGTTTGGGCCCTGAGGTTGACCTCCTGTGGTGGTGTTGCCCAGCTCGGAGCTGGGTGCTGGTCTGTAGCACTCAAGGGAGACACGGGAGGTGGCTACTCAAGTGGCAGTGCACTTTGCTGGCTGGGTATGGGTGTCACGTTGTCTTCCCCCTTCCTATGGAGAAGGGCTTGTATTATGCCATCTTCTCTTTAGGGGATGAAGGCAAATGCTTTTAAAAGGAGTTTGCAGTGGTTTAATGGGGTGCAATAAGAGCTTTGGCTGCTGGAAGGGTTCTCTGGGATAAATTCTCTAGCCTTATCCAGACTAAATTGATAGTTCTTCTTTGGGGAGAACTTGTAACAACTTTAATACACCCAGACAGGCTGGTTCTTACATGAAAAGCTGTTTTATGTTCTTCCTTATCCCCTCCTCTGTGGTAGGACTTCTGTCCTGCTGCTGAAAAGGGCTGTTGAAAGAAGTTGTACTTTTCAATGACTTAGGACATCCATTTCTTTATTTGGAAACTTTCTCCTTTCTTTAAGAGCAAATCCAGATTTCCTGAGGGGAGAAAAAGTCTTAACTTGTAACCAGCTTTTGAATCTCCTTGTGAGTTTCCTTGGCTTTATTCCTCAAAGGCCTTTGGTGGTATTTCTGTTGTTGTGGAGATCAGACGGTATTTAATTAGTGTTTCCTTGCCTCGGTGGCCAAGTATCAACCGCTCCATCCTTGAGACATTTCCACGTGTGGTTTCTTTCAGTCCTTATCTGCTGCAGGAACAGTGAGGTTGGCTAAAGAGGCAGTTTTGGGGGTTGGGAGGTGTTAGTCTGGGGTGCCTTGGGGGACCCCTTGTTTCACAGGGTTCTAAACAGGGGATGCTTAAATAGCTCTTGGAGCACATTCCTCACAGAGAGGACTACTGCCAGGAAGGGGAAGGGGGACCCATCTTCCTCTGGGAGGGGAGGTAAAACAGGGCCCTGTGCTGGATGTGTGAGATGAGATGAGCTTTTCCTGGGAGGATGAGGTCTGCCCTACCTGCACCTCGATGTCATTCAGGCTTTGGGGAACTTGGTGGCTTTGCCAATGAGATAGAAGCAACAGGATACCAGAGATGATGATGTTGATGGTGGCCACTCAGAACACTGATTTTGAGTTTGAATTTTGTGACCTAAGCTAGAATTATTTGCACTCTGACAGTGAGCGGAATGAAGCCCAGGAATTGTGTTGCGGGGGGGGGGGGGCTGGGGTTTTTGGGAAAGAGGCCGTTTTCCCTCAGTGACTGTTTTAGCCATTCGGAGCACTCTTCCTAGAATGCCATTTCCCCAAAACCAGGAACAAATAACACTCTTTTTTTTTTTTTTTTTTTTTACCTTGTCTGGAAAGAATTGCCAGAGCCGGTATAGAGAACACTTAATCACTCTCAAACTCCTCCTTTTATGCTTCTTTTTAAACACTATTTTTATAATGCTTCCTTTAACTAAACGGGTGGCTTTGTGCAAACATAGGTTGGTGATGAGCTTGGAGTTAATGCTGCTGCAGGTGTTGACCTCGGCGCTTCTCGGTGCCCTCTGTGACAGGGGCCGGGGGGGAGCCCAGTGGCGAGCAGAGCCCTGGAGCGGGCTCGCACCCTCGCCACCTCCTCCCAGGGAAGGCGGTTTTGCTTTGCCTTCGCCGGGGCGGCCTGAGCCGGGGGCGCTTTCCCAGTGGAGGGTAGACCTGGTGGCCCGGGGCGGGGAGGGAACAGGGGGGACAGGCCCTGCCCCGAGCCCGACCGTGGGGAGAGGAGGGGGAGCCGCGGGTCCCCGCCGCCTCGCTGACCGCTCCGCTCTTTATTTTTTGTACGTCCCGGGACTCCGTTTTCACGCTGTTCTCTCGTTTCTCCCAATAAAATGGTTTCTTTGCACGACGCTGCCTCACTCGCCGCCGAGGGATGGCGGCCTCCCCTCAGAGCGCCCTCACGCCCTTAAAGGGGCAATGCTCCCTTGGCAGCGGAGGAGCCCTAGAGCGGGAAAGCCGCGGCCCGTTTAAGCCGCGGTTGCCGGCTCGGGCGCAGCGCACGGCCATGCTGCGGAGCCGGTGGCTGCTGTCGGGCGCCTCGCTGGCCCTGGGCGCGGGGCTGGGGGCGGCCCTCACCGCCCGCCGCCGGCCGCAGGGCGATGGTGCGGAGGGGCTGCTGGCCCGCCTGCCCGTGGTACCCACCGTGGCGGCGGCGGCGGCCGTGGGGCCGCCGGCGCTGCCGGGGTCCAGCGAGCTGACCAAGTACGGGCCCAATAAAATGGTTTCTTTGCACGACGCTGCCTCACTCGCCGCCGAGGGATGGCGGCCTCCCCTCAGAGCGCCCTCACGCCCTTAAAGGGGCAATGCTCCCTTGGCAGCGGAGGAGCCCTAGAGCGGGAAAGCCGCGGCCCGTTTAAGCCGCGGTTGCCGGCTCGGGCGCAGCGCACGGCCATGCTGCGGAGCCGGTGGCTGCTGTCGGGCGCCTCGCTGGCCCTGGGCGCGGGGCTGGGGGCGGCCCTCACCGCCCGCCGCCGGCCGCAGGGCGATGGTGCGGAGGGGCTGCTGGCCCGCCTGCCCGTGGTACCCACCGTGGCGGCGGCGGCGGCCGTGGGTCCGCCGGCGCTGCCGGGTTCCAGCGAGCTGACCAAGTACGGGCTGCCCGGGCTGGCGCAGCTGCGGAGCCGCGAGTCCTACGTGCTTTGCTACGACCCGCGGAGCCGCAGCGCGCTGTGGGTCATCGAGCAGCTCAACCGGGAGACCCTCAGCGGCACCTCCGACCGCGCCGCCTGCGATTTCCAAGAGGACGATACGGTTCACGAATACCACCGAGCCACCAACGCCGACTACCGAGGCAGCGGCTTCGACCGCGGGCACCTGGCCGCCGCCGCCAACCATAAGTGGAGCCAGAAGGCCATGAGGGACACCTTCTACCTCAGCAACGTCGCCCCGCAGGTAGGACCCGCCGCGGGGAGACTCGTCCCCGGGCGGAGGAAGCGGGGGGGGGAAGGCGGAGCTGCCCCCGTTCAAGGGCAGACGGCGCTCCCCGCTGGAAACCACCTCCGGACGCCGCCGGCTCTTCCGTGTGCTTATGGTTCGGGTTGGAAAGAACCTTAAAGATCATCTAGCTCCAACCCCCTGCCCTGGGCAGGGACACCTCCCACCAGACCAGGTCGCTCCAAGCCCCCTCCAACCTGGCCTTGACCCCCTCCAGGGATGGGGCAGCCACAGTCTCTCCGTTCCAGTGCCTCACCACCCTCATGGTGAAAAATTTCTTACTGATATCTAATCTAAATCTGCCCCCTTCCAGTTTGAAGCTATCACCCTTCGTCCTATCATACATGACCTTGTAAGGTTTGTCCCTATAGTGGCTCAGGCAGAGTGGGTCCAAAGTGGCCAAAATCACCTGGAGGTGCTGTTATTTCCTGCTGAACAACAGTAGTGATCCTGCAATGTGCCTGCCGGGGGGCTCCTCTGAGCCATTCAGCACAGCAAAGTTAAACAGGCTGACAGATGCCTGCAAAAATTGTGGGATAAGGCAAGTGGGTTCTGTTCCTGGGTGTGCAAACAGGGACCTCGCTGTAGGCAGCCTCTGGAGAAGAGGTGATAGTGGAGATCTCTTCTAGAAGGTCCCTGGGACGTTGTGAGACACCTTACAGAAAAGGCAGGTGTTATTTGAACAGTGAGGAAATCCCCCACTGATTTTGTTGTCTTTGTTGCCCTGGTTGTGTTTCTAGGTTCCTCATTTAAACCAGAATGCCTGGAATAACCTTGAGAAGTACAGCAGAAGCTTGGCAAGGAACAACAAGAACGTCTATGTCTGCACAGGACCCCTTTACCTGCCCAGGTAAACACGAGGGCCAAGCTGGGACCACGCTCCAAAGATGCTGGGAAAGGAAAGCAGGCTGAGGGCGTGCAGCCTCCCAGCTGCTCCCAAATGGTGGGGACCTGCCAAGGCCCCGCTCAGGTGAGACCAGATGTGGAAAGTACTTGTGGAAAGGTACTTTCTTAGGATTAGTTCATGTATTTCTCATTCAGTTGATTATTTTGTGAGTAAAGGTGGGTTTCGCGACATAACCAAGTCGCTTTTGTTTGCAGTCCTTTACAACCCAGTAGTAACAGATTACTAGATTATTACATTAACATGAGACTGCAGCCCCTTCCCTGCAGAATAAAACTTCCAGGTCTTATTTGATGGAATTTCTCCACTTAAGAGCACAACTTTTATTTGCAGAGATCTTCATATAGTGCTGAAGAGCAGCTGTCTCATATTGAGATCTCTTCAGGAGCAGGAAAGAGCTTGGAAAGGCTTTTAAAGAGAGACAGTGGGGAAGAGATCTGGGGGGAGCAGACCCAATACATGGCTCAGCCTCACCACGTCCTGTAGCCTCTGTTTCAGCACCGTTTTTACAGCCCTCCCACAGAATTTGGGCTGGTCCCTGCCACACTGTGGGGTGGGGGCTGAGGGGATGGATATGGCACCAGACTAGGAGGTAACATGGGATGTTGCTCTTGGTGCAGGATGGAGGCCGATGGGAAGATGTACGTCAAGTACCAGGTGATTGGGAAGAACAACGTGGCCGTCCCCACCCATTTCTTCAAGGTGCTCATCCTGGAAAAGGAGAGCGGGGAGATCGAGTTGCGCTCGTACGTGATGCCCAACAGCCCCGTGGATGAGAAAATCCCCCTGGAACGGTTCCTGGTTCCCATCGAGAGCATCGAGCGAGCCTCAGGGCTCCTCTTTGTCCCAAACATCTTGAAGAGAACAAGTAACTTGAAAGCCATCACAGCTGGAAGCAAGCGTTGAACCTCAACTAAACAAATCCAGGTATCCCCTGGATTCAGGGACTGATAGCAGAATAATAGCTCCTTGGGCAATTTTAAATGTGGGAAATAAGATTCAAACCAATGCTCTTTACCCTTCCCCTCGCTTCGTGTAACGGTGAATCACGCACACACAGCTCCCACGGGCAGGCCCTGCAGAAGGCTCCCGGGCACTTGATGTTGTAGCAGGTGTCTAGACTTTGCCCCTAATCTGCTCCTGTAATTGCTCCCTTTGAGATCAAACCGATGCTTCTCTTTACCCTTCCTCTCGCTTCGTGTAACGGTGAATCACGCACACACAGCTCCCACAGGCTCTGCAGAAGGCTCCCAGGCACTTGATGTTGTAGCAGGTGTCTAGACTTTGCCCCTAATCTGCTCCTGTAATTGCTCCCTTTGAGTTGTGTGACTAATTAAGACACAAAGGGAAGTTACTTAATTGCTATTTAGCAAGGAAGGACAGGAGCAAGATGGGTGTAGTTGGGAGGAGAGGAGAGGTTCCTGCCTTCCTGTGGCCAAAGGATTGTATGATTGTTTTCTTTCAGAAGATGGTTTTAGCAGTAAAGCTTTGAACACCCACAGTATTGGTTGTTTCTTATCTGCTCTTACCAAAGCCCTGAATATCTCAGCAGGAGGGGGGGGGACAGAGCCAACTTTCCCAGCTGCTTTCCTGTTTGAGCTCACTGTGGGCAGAGTTTAAGGCATCACAGATGGAGCCAAACTGTAACGAGCTATGCTTAGTGCTGGGGCTCAACTGAAAATCCAGCTCTTCCTGCTGTTAGGAAGGATGAAGCCTTGAAGGGGAGGGCTGGGGGAAATCAGGCTGAGACAGGAACAGCTTCTTGGCATAAAGATTAAGTTTGATTTCCTTTAAGTCTGAAGACCATATGGCTCCAGAGGCACTGAGTGTGCAGGATCTCTGGACATTGAGTGCCCATCCTGTACACCAAGACATTTGCACGTGGACTTCAAGGCAGCTGAGGTTCCATACTGCTTTATTCCCCAACCCCAGATGTCTGAATTCCTCAGACCCAGTCTGCTGCCAGGCTTCTTCCAGCTGGTGAGGGGCAGCAAACAGCCCTTGGCTGGACCACGCAGGCAGGAGGGTGCAGACTTGCTGGTCCCAACAGCAGCCAGACGCTCGCTCAAGCAGCACTGCCAGCGTTGGTCACGCTGTGTCTTGGCCCGGCCAGGCTCTTGGAGTGATTTGCCCAGTGCCCTGCCATTTGAAAAGCTGCTTGCCCGAGGCAGTCCTCAGCTGATGGCAAGGTCAGTGGTTTTCCTTCCCTCAGCTGTCGCTGGGTGTCTTCACAGCCTCATCGATGTGGGGTCTCAGCGCGGACAGAGAGATCAGCAGGGCTTCCTGGAACAGAGCCGGGCTGCAATCAGAACTGCTGCTCTCTGAGGAACACCAGGCAAGCCAGCTGCTCCCTGCTGAGGTGTCACCGTGGGGAATGACACCGTGGGCTGTGTGTGTCACTGCCAGAGGTGGAAACACAGCACTGCTCTGTGCACACAGGCATCCACCTCACCATCAGCCACCTGCCCTACCTCTGTCCGGATGGTTCTGCTGCCTTGGCTGGGACAAGTGTTCAGGTAGAAGTCAAACAGGACGCTTGGGTCGGTGACCTCCAGGTTTGGATCTACATCAACCCCAGCTTCCAAGCCCTCAAGACCTCCAAAGACGACGAGGGCGTGCCTAGGGGACAGCACAGGGAAAGGGTGAGAGGGGACACCAGCTCCTACCCCTGTACCAAGAGGCAGATGCTACAAGCTTCAGACAGGAGAGATGTTCATGTGCCTGGAACCTTCAAGTGGATTAAGAATTGGCTTCACATAAACAATTCTCTTAACTTGATCTGCAAGAAGCTGACTAATTTCTTTTGTTCAGGTGTCTGGGTCTGTGTTCCAAACACCTCTGTGCTGCTGAAGCAGGGAGCTGTGTCCTGCACTGACTATGCCCAGTGCAGCTGCCTCCCTGACAAAGCCCCACAGCACGTGGCCCAAGTGACAGTCCCTGCTACCAACTGAACTGGGAGGACCCACACCAGAGAACCTGGAAAGGAATGGCCTTATCTTGGGGTAGTTCCCCCAGCTTCTGTCATGCAGAATGTGCTTTGGCACAAAAGGGAGCAGCAGAGCAGAGGAAGGAGCCTGCAGGCAAGTCTTGCACTTTTATCTAGGAGTGTTTCTGCCTGGGAGAGCACCAGGGACACAGTGCAGCTCTGTCTGCCCACTCCTGGCCTCCCTGGGGGCTCCGAGTGGGGCCAAGCAGGACACAAACCTGAAGGAGGGGAGAGTGGCCTGGTCCACGGAGCTGCCCCGCTCTGAGGTGCCAATCGAGAGATCGTAGCCTTCCTTGAACGGGCACTCTGAGAAGACAGCACCTGGGAAACAAACAGGATATGGGGTCACTCACGGGGTGCCCTCACCCACGCTGTGTGCATCTGGACAGGCTGAAACACTCCATGGGTGAACGGTGGCAGCAGAAGGAATTGCTTTTCAGTGCCAGAAGTGCAGCAGGAGACAGAATGATTCCTCTTTCCCACATAATTCCCTTGCTGCAGGCGTCTCTGTCACCCTTCTCAACTGCAGCACCTTCTCCTCAAAGCTCAAACAGGTGCCAGGAGCCATTCCTTGACTCATGGCTTAGGATTTTCCTGGGAGCTCAAATCAATCAGAAGACAGGAAAAGGATTTTGCAGGGCTCTTGAGCTCAAATGTCACCCATGGCTTTGGTGTGAATGAGCGGTAAGGAGTTATCATGGAAATGGAGATGTACTGGCTGGAGATGGAGAGCACCAACTCATCTCCTGCTACAACATGGACATTTGGCACAACAGTGAGTGGAAGTACAGGGCAGAGTACTGGTAGGTGACTGGGGTGGCTCACACCCCTAGCTTTAATCCTTAAATTTGATTGCCACATGGCTGCTAACTACATGTGTAAGCTGCCTTGAGACAGGAGAGATTTCTAAGACAGAGATGTTAATGCGTGCTGCAGGTGTGCAGCCAGCAGACCTGAAAGGTGTGGAAACCCAGGCAGAGACACGACAGATGTGCTGCAGGTGTGCAGCCAATAGGCCTGAAATTGGTGTGGAAACCCAGGCAGAGACACGACAGAGCGGAGAACCCTTGGAAATACTTACTCAGGCAGGAGGCAAGGCGGACGCTGTAACCCCAGTACAAGCCTGAGACCGTCCGAGGGTGGTGTGAGGACACCACGGTGCCTTTCCGCACTTTAGCTTCTGAAAGGGAAGCAAAGAAATCAACAACTCCTGGGATCTCCCAGTGAGAGCTGGATTTGACCAGCCACGTAGGGCAGTTTCTCTTGGGGCAGGGCACTGACTTAGTGTATGACCAAGAACCTCCCTTTGGAGCACGTTCTGGAAAGCTCTTTATTGTCAGTCAAAGAGCTGGTAATTCTTTCCAGTTCATTAGAGAGGTATGGTAAGGGTGTTAGTGAAATTGTGTGTGAAGGGAGCATGCAGAACTGCTGGGTACCTTAAAAAATCAGTACTCTGAAGGCTCTCCTACAGAAGGACCAACTCCTGCAGGATTGAAGTTTACCAACAGTAATGGAGCAGTGGATTACCTGGCTTCTGGGGTTCCTCCAGGTGCACAGTGACTCGCAGACCGGGGTTCAGCTGTTTGTCGATCTGCACCTCCTGCAGTGAAAGTCAGCATCAGAGTCAGACATTCTGGGAGTACTGGGGAAGGTGAGGAAGGAAGGGAACCCTCTGAGGAAGTGGGGGTCTGTTCTGGCTGGAGCCCAGAGTCAGACATTCTGAAAATACTGGGGAAGGTGAGGAAGGAAGGGAACCCTCTGAGGAAGTGGGGGTCTGTTCTGGCTGGAGCTGGAATGAGGAGCTTTGCAATCAGGGCTTGTGGGGTGCATACAGTGCCAGAGCAGGCTCAGGGTGGCTCGGGTCAGCAGCCTGAGACTTATTTTGGTGCTCAAAGGTTCAACTCCAGCAGGGAAGCAATGACTTGGGAAGCTACAACCATTAACGAACCAAAAGGGACAAGATGGCAACAGCATTAAACTCCAAGCCAGCCCCCTATGGCCTTGGGAAACCCAGCAGTACCCACCCTGCCTGCTTCAAATCCACCAGAGACACAGGGGAAATTGTTTGGGGACCTGTGGGTAAGTAACAGACAGACATACCTTCCTCATCCCGCAGTTAACAAAAGAGCCTCTGCCTGCCTTGGTTGGCCGGTCCAACACTACGCCTTCTCGGTACTCGGAATCCTCATCCACCCGCATGTGGTGAGGGGTGTCCAGGGGGTTGAGGAGCCCTAGAACAGCACAGAGGAAAGCAACAGCTAAGGAGAGGACACAAATTGTGGGAACACAGGTGTAAGTACAACTGCTCTGCTGCCCCTTCCCTCTCTGGTCCAGCACACCATAGCACAGCACCTCACCTGTGCTCTGAAGTGGAGAAAAGTTACTCAATTCCATACAAATTCCATGCAAAACAAGAGCCAGAGCTCAGGAAGGGGGAGCCAACAGCTTGGGTCAGACACAACTGAATTATTACCTGCAAACTGCAGATCCTCATGTTTTGGAAAAAAGGATTTCCTCAAGTACCTGTTAACAGACAAGTGTTAACAGACAATGTGAAAACAGTTGTTTCTATGGAATCCAAGCCACAATTCTAGCTCCATATTGACTTAAAGGAGCTCTTCCAAGTCCCTGATCTACCTCTAATGTAGCACGCAGGTTATATCCTGCATTCACTGCTGTTCTTTCAGTTAAACTCCTGAACCAGACATGAAACAATCAGATCCTCCATAATTGTGCCACATAAACAGTTTGGCTCCTCCAACTCTTATAGCCTCTGGCACGTGATACCCAAGGTAGTCAGTTCTGATGGATGGTCTGACCATGGTGGACTTACTGAGGGCACTCCAAGTACTGTAGGATCCGAGCCAGCTGCACACAAGCCTTGCCTTTCTTCCCAATTCCTTCAAAGTCCCCCTCCACAGTCCTGAAAGAGAAAGAAAGCAGCTTGTGAACTGAGCACAAGACTGCACAGCCTCAAGTGGTCACGTCTTCAGAAGACCAAGCCTGGGTCCTTAATCTGAAAATAGCAGCAGCCCCCCTGCCTCCACCACCAAGAAATACATGGGCCACATTATAGAAGGACTACTCCAGATGTAAAGACTGTTAATGAATCATATTTGGAATTCTCTCTGTAAGCTAAGTATCTTATTCAGTCTTGGTTTTGATCTTTGTGTATTGATACAACCAGGCAGTTGGGTGTCACTGAGCTGGATGCTACAGGACTGCACAGCTTGGCCACTTAGAAGAGATGCAGGTCCAGGCTAAAAAGCTGAAGGATGGGAATTCGTCTTCTATAAAGATATAGGGATGCCCTGTCCCTCCATGGCAAGATTTAAGAGTACGGGAGAACTTGACCTCCTGCTGCCTTGTCACCCCCATGCTGGGATATACAATCCTAGTTCCCAGGGCATTTAAGTCAACATCTTTGCCCAGTGGTATAAAGGTCCCTGCCATCCTGGCATTTGAGAGAGATTCAAACATTTGCTTGAGGTACAGGCAGTTCTTTGCTGGTCTCGGCTTAATAAAAGACTGAAGAAATTAAAAGTGGAGAGGAAACGCTTTCTGCGGAACAAGATGGCTCCTCCTTACTTTGCATCTTCTCCATGCTCATCAAACACTATGATCTCATCCACGCAGAAGATGGCACAGGCCCGAGCAATCTGTCCAGCCAGGTACGTCCGCAGCTCCAGCGACTGCGCGTTGTTCAAGATGGAGCCTGGCACGGCCACGCTCAGCGTGTAGTGACGCCCTGGGGAAGAGAGTGTGACCAGAAGAGAGTGTGATCAGAGAAGAGTGTGATCAGAGAAGAGTGTGATCAGAAAGAGCTCCACAGTGACAGCTGCACGTACAGCACTTTATTTACTACTTCAACCGCAGCTGTCGTGGGGAAAAAAAGCAACCTGTATTTCTTGGATTTTTAACCACAGGTTTTCTCTTAAGAAGGGCCTCTCATGGAGAGGTGACTGTATCGTTTTCACACCTCTTTATGCACGTGGATTGATCTATAGCAGATCTGTGAAGCTGAGCATCACCTTTCCTATCGATACGTAAAACAGACTGACTCCTAAGGACCAAGTTCTCCCAGCTCTGTCAGCCCAGGCCTCCCTGTCGGGCCACAGCGGCATCACCTTTGTCTTCCTTCTGCTCCTCCTGCTTCTCAGCTTGTTTTTCCGCCAGCTCCTGCATCCGCTGTTTTTCCAGTTTCTTCAGGAGCTTCATTTCCTTCCATTTTTTCTTCTCTGCTTTCTCTGGAAGGGAGCACAGCACCTGGCTTTAAACAACGACCCGTGACGGCTCAGAGCAGAGCTGGGGAGGGCAGTATCAGGGCCCGGAGGCCGCGATACGGAGCACGGAGCGCTCGAGGCCGGCTCCTCCCGGTCCCGAGGCCTCACCGGGCACCCCCAGCGGCTGCGGCCCAGTCCGCCCGCCCGCCCCCAGCCCCTGCCGCGGGCCCGGCCTTACTCTCCTGCTTCCAGCGCCGCCAGTTCACCTTCCTATCCTCAACCTGGGGGAGACAGCAGCCGTTACCGCCGGAATCCCCTCAGGGGCAGCCCCCGGTAACGGCCGAGCGTCCCCCCCGCTCCCCACCTGCATCCCTTTGGGCCGCTTGGCCGCGCCGGGCTCCGCCATCTTCCGCTCGCGCTCCTCGGCCACGCCCCCCCGCGGTGGGGATTGGCGGAGGCCGGAGTCACGTGAGCCAATGGCCCGGCAGGGGGGCGGGGCCCCAGCCTTTAAGTGGCCTGGGCGGGCTGTCAAGCTAAGCAGGGTCTGCCTCGTTCTGCGGGAGGATGGGTGACCCAAGGGGAAGATGTGGGAGGGTGCGGGTGTTGCTCAGCCTCTCCAGGGAGGCTGGGATGGGGGGCTTCCCTTTTCCTTCCCTTTTCCTTCCCTTTTCCTTCCCTTTTCCTTCCCTTTTCCTTCCCTTTTCCTTCCCTTTTCCTTCCCTTTTCCTTCCCTTTTCCTTCCCTTTTCCTTCCCTTTTCCTTCCCTTTTCCTTCCCTTTTCCTTCCCTTTTCCTTCCCTTTTCCTTCCCTTTTCCTTCCCTTTTCCTTCCCTTTTCCTTCCCTTTTCCTTCCCTTTTCCTTCCCTTTTCCTTCCCTTTTCCTTCCCTTTTCCTTCCCTTTTCCTTCCCTTTTCCTTCCCTTTTCCTTCCCTTTTCCTTCCCTTTTCCTTCCCTTTTCCTTCCCTTTTCCTTCCCTTTTCCTTCCCTTTTCCTTCCCTTTTCCTTCCCTTTTCCTTCCCTTTTCCTTCCCTTTTCCTTCCCTTTTCCTTCCCTTTTCCTTCCCTTTTCCTTCCCTTTTCCTTCCCTTTTCCTTCCGCATGCTGGAGGATGGGGTGATGCACCCTCCCCCTTGCAGGGTGTGTTGTGGCCTAGAGCAAGAGCCCACACACACAGGGATGTTGCAAGAAATCTTTAATTCCTGTAATTAATCTCACGGTTGTTTATCTGTGTTGGTGATTGCAGCTCTTCCAGCACTTGGCACCTATGTAGGTGCAAAAAAAGCCTTCAGCAGCGCCCTCGCCCACCCAGGCTGTGCGAGCAGGTGAGAGGGGACACATCTGCATATCAGGGGTGAAGGCAGGAGGTGGGTGTTTGCCTCCCCCCCGGTGGGTGTTTGCCTCCCCCCGTTGCTCCGGGGTGGGACTGGTGCCACCAGCTGCAGCAGACCCGCCAGTCCGGGTGGGATGAGCCACCATCACTGTGGGACACTACACAGCTGTCGCATGGGTGAGGGCAGCTCTCCAGGAGAGCTGTGTCAGCCCTGTAATCATTAGAGAAACATTTGCTTTTCAATAATTGCAGTAATTAATCTTTAATAATTTAACCACCACAAATACTTATCGCACAGTCTGTTGTGCACAACCCCTGCGTGATAGATGATGCTGTTTTACATTCTTATCCGGGTCGAAATCAGAAATGGTGCAAGAATCACCTTTCAAAACGCCACTCGTGTTACCCCACCGCCCACCAGCCCGGCCGGTGGGAGGCTGTGGGGGCCACCAGCGGCAGGAGCAGCCCGAAGCTGCTTTTCAGAATTTTGGTGGTGGAAAAGACCCCAGGAGCCGTCCTTACCTTGTGTCTTCCTGGATGCATCCCAGAACTGATTATCAAAGTCTTTAAACGTGGTAAGAAGAAACATTGAGTACTGGCAGCGCATGGGAAGGCTCACTTTTTGCAAGGAACAGCAGAGTCATTTCACAGTGACAGAAAGTTTCTCCCAGACTCTGGGTCTGGCAAAATTCTTACCCATTTGTCCGACGGAAGATGTGGTTGAAAGCACAAAAATAAGGACATATTAAAGTTTGTAGCCAAGCAAAGAAGAGGAGGAAGAGCGGTTGTGGCAGGTGAGTACCAGGGAGAGCCTGGTTTTGTCTCCAGTGTGCTCAGGGACTGGTTTTCTCCCGTTTCCATTTTTGCAATATGTCATTTGCTGCTTTCAGTGTGGCTTCCTCCTAAACAAATGCCATAGGTTTGGTCAGTGCCTTCCAACTAAAGCCTGTTTCTCCTCATAGTCCAGGAGTCATCGTTTATATAAAATCTCATTTTCTTTCTAGAGCATTGTGAACATCCTGTGCTCAGTATGAGACAGGCTCAGCATCTCTGGGGCAGCCAAACGTGCACCCAGAAGACTCCCTGCCTTAACCAAGAGATGTGGGATGCTGACGGGACAAAGCTGAGGATGGCACGGGCACCCCTCCTGTCCTGCAGGAGAGGGTTGAACCATCTGTGATGCCACGCTCAGCCTTTAATGCCCAAGGCACTCTAATTTTCTTCTTAGCATTTATCTAATTAAACCAACCCTGATTATTACTCTCAACCTCACCGTCCTTCGTGCTGCCACGTATCTCACCTTCGCGAAGCAGAACCGGATGAAATGATTGTAGTTGTTCTTGTGGGCCCCAGAATAGAAAGCAGAGAGTGGGATGGCAGCAAGTCCCTGGGAAGGGGAAACGCATGGAGCTGAGGTTACTCTTTCTGGCCTGGCTTGAAGCCATCTCCTTATTGCTCATAAGTCTCATGGATGGGCTTGTAGATGCCCTTGGTGCCCTGTCTACTCGCTCTGCTCGAGCTCAGGCTGCCAGGGTTGGGGTCAGCTGCTGACAGACACCCCAGGCACCTCCCAGATGAGGTGCTGGACCCAGTGGTGGGGGTGATGTGCTGCCCCTCCCAGCAGGGAGGGCACAAACCCACCCAGGGTAAAGGTGGCAGAAAGGGCCAAGTGCATTTACCTTATTCTTGACCATCCACTTTGCAAATCTGGAGTCGTAGGGCTCATCAGAGTCGGGGACATCAGGCACGTCAGATTCTGCAGGAGAAGCACAGCAGCACGGAGGTGGGGGCTGCTGCCGGGTGCCTCAGCCCAGCCCCAAACCCATGGCATCTGGGAGCTATTTTTGCAATACGCTATTGTCTGTCCCTGCTTTGGTGGTGGTTTGTGCAGGTTCCTGTCCCTGCCAGCGGTACCACTCCGAGCTGGCCTCCCACACTCAACCCTGTCTGAGCAAAACCGCAGCTGCGTCACTCACTGAACTTGGAGATGTCTGCCACCAAGAAGTAGGTGCCCTCCGGGATGATGGGTTTCATCCCCACAGCATCCAGGCTCTGGACCAGCCAGTCTCTCTTCTGCTGCAGCTCCTTGGGCAGTTGGATGAAGTAGCTGTCTGCTTTCCCATAGAGCTCGAGCTCCCTCTGGAAACCCTGAGCCACAGCCTCCTGCGAGGAGAGAGGTGCCCGGTGGGGAGATGGTCAAGGCTTTTATGAGAACCAGAGTGTTTGCTCCAACACAATTCACAGGTAAGTAGGGAGCAGAAGGACTCTCTCTCACCTCTGCTTCAGGGGTTTAGAAGTTGTGGGGACAGTTGCAGGGAGCCACCTTACCTGGGCAATGGTGGCACAGTGGTACACTGAGTTTTGGTGCACGTTACGGAGGTGCTGCAGCAGCCGGTTGGGTCCCACGGTCCAGCCTACCTGTGGTCAGGAGAGGAGGAGGAAAGTGGTAAATGTCTGGGTACCTGCTTGGGCTGCCCTTTATTTGTCTGTGCTGGCTTCATTGTATGCTCCAGACAGAGCTATCGTAAAGCAGCTTTGGTACTTTCAGACCCTGAGGTTCAAAGCTGAGTGTGTGGCAGCAGTGTCCCCAGAGCCATGGGACTCATGCCACGGAGGAAAGGGATGGGGATGGGGATGTGGCATGAGATGCCACACAGGAGAATTCACCTTCCATCCAGTGGCACTGAAGGTTTTTCCAGCACTCCCGATGATCACCGTGCGGTCCCACATCCCTGGCAAGCTGGCTGGCAATGAAACAGGAGAGAAACACCAATGGCAGAGCTCAGTGTGCTCACTTCTGGGCTGCATTAATAACATGGTGGGAGCTCTTTGCCCAACATAACCCACGGTGGCCTCCTGTGTTCACAGCACATCTTTCACCTGGGTGAGCCTCAAAGCACAGCCCAAGCAGGCAGCCAGGTTTCTCAAGAGCATTTCTTTTGTAATTGTTTTTATACACATGTACCCAGCCTGGGGGTTCCCAGAGGTGCCAAGCACCATTACTCTGCAACAAGGTGATTGCAACAGGAAGAACAGGCCTCTGAAATCATGTTGAAATGGATGTCCTAAAACTAGAGACACCAGAAAACTGGTTTTATGAAGTGTGGGGGAAAAAATAGTTTCCCTGGAGCCAAAGGGCTGTTTGCTCTGGATTTCACACTGTGAAGCCAAGTCTCTGTTTCCTCTGACTGGCTCTGGAAGTCAGTTTAAGACTTGGTTTGGAGACTGAGACTGAAGTGCAGCAAAATACCTCTAATGGGCTTATGTGCCTGTTAGAGCTGTGCATGTAAGTAGCCCATGTAACTTCCAGGGGACCCCAGTTAAATCACCAGTTCTTTCCCTGAAGATGCTGTGCCCAGAGAAGTCACCCAAGCTCAGCCAAGCCGTTCTCCGTACCGATGCGGATGTGCTCCTTCCCGTCATAGACCAGCCACTCGTACACTTCATCGCTGATGCACAAGACATCGCGCTTCACACACAGGTCTGCAATGAGCTCCAGCTCCCCTCGGCTGAACACCTGCAGCAGGCAGGGAGTAGAAGGTGGATGCTGCAGGAGCATTTCTCAGCCCCTGCCTGTCCCTGCCTCTCTGCAGAGGCTCCACATCCTGCCTGCACCATCTCCCAAGCCAGGGTGGGCAGGAGCTGGCTGCAATGGTCTAACAGGGCAAAGCCACTGCTGCCACAAAAAAAACAGGCATAAAACCACCAGGCAAACAAGTGCACTGTGTGGTGCTGCCACAGCACCTATTTCCCTTGTGTGTGAGGAAGATCATGTCACTGCTACCCTGCAAATGTGGCTGGGTGAGCTGGAGCACTCCAGCTGCTTTCAGGACCAGCCACAGCAAGGCCAGAGGCATTACCTTGCCCAGGGGGTTGTTGGGTGAGTTCAGGACGATGGCTTTTGTCCGTTCAGTGAATTTAGAAGCCAATTCAGCCGGGTCCAGCTGCCAGTCTGCACTAGACATCAATTTACCATCTTTTGGAGCTTTCTAGAGAGAACAGAGAGGAATCTCAGCTTGCTTTGCTACCTCTGCACTTCTCTTACCACTCACCTCTCTGCTATGACTCTTCCCTCCTCAATGGCTTTGCTCTGACCCACTCACCGGTCTCAGCGGGACAAACACGGGCATCCCACCAGCCATTTTTGTCATCGGCTCATAGCAGTCAAAGAAGGGCTCAATGATTATCACCTGGAAGAAAGGGACATGTCAGCACCCTCCTGGCTCTGCTCAGACCTTCCCTGATGGGTGCCGAGAGCAATGGAAGGGACAGGAAATTTTAATCCTTGAATTACTGTCATGGAGAACATGCATTGCCAGTGGGCAGTGTCATGAAAGAACATCACATGGAGCACAAGGGTTATTTTGCCTGATGCAAAAATAAGTCAGGGCCTTGTGGCAGCGATTTTTTTTCATTTGGAAGCTCAAATACTGGAGAATGGGGATAAAAACTTTTCTGCTTTGCTAAAGGACTATGAAAACCTGCTCCTGGCAGACCCACAGCCAAGAAGGGCTCTGCTGGAGGAAGGCTGCCTGTGCAACGTACCCAAATTTTGGGTTACCTCATCGCCTTCTTCAATGAAAGCCTGGAAGCAGCAGAAAAGAGCCTGGTATGCCCCGACGGTCACCATCACATTGGTCATAGGATCCAGGTCTCGTCCGAGCAGCTTCCCAAAGAACTGGGCTAGGATGTTCACCAGAGGTGGGTGGCCCTGTGGGGTGAGAGGAGAGGTGAGAATTGGGTTGCAGAAGCCTCCTAAAACACAGATGAGCCCTTGGAAGGGGCCTGGGCAGCCATGTGCCCTGTGACTGAGTGTGTGGGGCATCTTCCAGCCCAGCTGCTTCAAACAGCCTGGAAAAGCAGGGTGTCACAGCCCTGGGTGTGGGGTGCCCGGGCTGAGGCTGGATGTGTGTATTGCCTCATGTGGTTTGCCCTGTTTATTGCTGCCTGGTGAGCTCTGAAGCAGCCAGGGCTAACGGGGAGCAAGGGGGACATTGCTGAGGAGTGGGGGTCTGGTCACGCACAAAGGCACGGGTGTACTGGTGCAGCATGTGGTTCTCCCCGCTGAGGGCTCTCACAAACGCCTCCTTCAGAAAGTCCGGTGGAGGGAAGTCGGGGAAGCCCTGGCCCAGGTTCACCTTGGAGTAGGTGGCAGCCAGTTTTACAAACTCCACCCTGGAGAGAAGGAAGGGAGAGAAAGAGAGGCATTTACAGAGGGTCCGGGCAGTGCGCTGTCACTGGCTCTGCTTGCCAGCATCCCTTTGGGAGTGAGGATGGTGTCCCTCCTGCAGAGCCATCCTGCTGCTCACAGGTGGACAGGACCAAGCACAGGTCATTTTAGACCTGTTTTAATTAAACTGAGGATAAGGCACCAGGGGGTGGCTTTAATTTGTTCTCAAAAGAAACAGCCACTGCACTGTCTGGTTGTGTGGTCACAGCTGAAGCCTCACAGCGCTTCTGATCAGACAAGGCTGAGAAGGAGGGGACTTGGAGGTTTTCAAGATAATACCAGTTCCACAAAATTAGGAACTAGACACCAGGGGGTGGCTTTAATTTGTTCTCAAAAGAAACAGCCACTGCACTGTCTGGTTGTGTGGTCACAGCTGAAGCCTCACAGCGCTTCTGATCAGACAAGGCTGAGAAGGAGGGGACTCGGAGGTTTTCAAGCTAATACCAGTTCCACAAAATTAGGAACTAGACACCGTGAAGGCCTCTGCAGAGGGAAAGGCAGCTTGAACTCAGCGCTTGTCTCACCTGAGAACCATCTCGTCAGCAGTTTGTAGCTTGAAATCAAGCAGAGCGGGGCTTTGGGTGCTGCTGGGATCATTGGGATAGATGGGTCGGATGGAGTGCAATGTGCTACAATGTGCCTTCCCACAGGATGGTGTGGGACATGTGATATGGCATAAAGTGTGAGCAGCAGGTACAGAGCTGAGCCAGGGTAGAGTCTCCTGGGACAAATCTGCCCTGATGTGCTTCCTGAATGAATGCAAAGCAGCTGAAGGAGGCTCTGCTGCTCTGTGCTGTGTGGCTGCCGTGGTTTCTACCTGGTGTTAGGCTGCTCAAAACCACATCTACCACCAGGGTAAACCAGATATTCTCTTAGCTCACCAGATATTCTTGTCTGTTCCCTCCAGCCTCCGAGCTTGCACTGGCCGTGACATCTTTGCCTGCAAAGAGAGAGAGAGAGCAAGTTTGAAGATTTCACTAGCGGCAATGGTGCCACACGTGATGGGGACGTGGCCTCCCCAGGTAGGTTTTTCCCAACGGAAGGTGTGCCCTTATTGCTTCATGGGTTGTTGCTGACCAACCTTAGGGCAGCAATGCTGATGCAGTGGCTTCTGGAAGAAGTTTCACACAATTTTTATGAAAGATCAAACAGATGAGAGCTGGCACAGGAGGAAGTTTCATTTACAAGTTTCAACAGGAACTGAGAAAACAGACGAGCTAAAGAAGCGCGTGTACACTCACTGGGGAGCTGGCAATGCCTTAAACCTCATTTTCAGTTGGAATAAGTCATGGGGTCAAATGAGCTCAGCCAAGCTGTAAGAGCCAGGTCAATGATCCCAGATCTCAGGCTTCGGCCTTTGTAGCCTCTCTTGTCCTCCATTGGAAGGACCTCCTTGTTCTCCACAGGCCAGAAAACATCCCCTTTTCCTAGAATAAACTTTTTTATTCCATACAGCTCTAAGGAGTAGCAGAAGTAGGGTTTGCTCCTTTCTCCTACTGGAGCCCTTGGTGAAGGGACTTGTTCTAGATCCTAAACAAAATGCTGGATTTTGCACCTAAAATTCATGGCAAAACAAGGCAGCAGATGGGTACAGGCAAGGGGGTGCACAGCACAGAGGTCAGTCTGATGTATGGAGACACCAAGGTACAGTTTGCCTGACTGTTTAATTTATTTAATGACTGATATTTAATTTCCACCTGCATCATGGCTGGGGGGGGGTAGGAAGAAGGACAGTAGGAAACATTCAGAGCAAAATCCCCCTTCCAGTTGGATAAGCACAGTGGGAGCAAGTCAGATGTTCTTGATGGGGAATTTATCGTGAGGATGATGAAAAGCGGCAGAGGCAGAATTTAATAACTCAACAGTGCAGGGAAAAGGTAATCAGACAGAGAAGGGACTGGAAACTGGAAAGAAACAATGCTCAGTGCACCAAGAACAGCCAGCGTGGGGATGTGAGGAGAGTGTCTCTGAAGCAATGAGCCAAGATAACGATTGTCACCACAGCAAATGAAATGCATTTGAACAGGGATGAGGAGGGCACGTAAAAGCAGCCGAGATGTGAGATGCAGAGCTGCAATGTGAGGGGACAGGGTCTGTGTTCTGCCGTGCCAGGATGGGGGGTACCAGGTCAGCCCCCCTCCCCAGGCTGGGCTGCAGCAGTAACTTCCCACTTACCTGCTCACCCCCGGAGGGCTGCACCCCAATTTGAAAAGTGCCTCAGCGATATTTTGTGTTGAGGTCTCTGGATTTTTCTACAGCTTCAGCCCTCACTCGGAATCTTTGTGAATCACTTGCTGTGGAGCCCTGTGTTTCAGAGGGCACCCAGTGGACTCTGTGCTCCCCCGTGGTGCCGGGCAGGCAGCCAAGGGCGAGCAGAAGTCACTGCTCCCCGGGTCTAGGGGAGCCCCACTCCTCTCCCTCAGCATCCTGCTTTGCTCTTTCTGCACAAGGTCATGGATATTATGGTCAGCAAGAACCCGGTGCCTGAGCTGATTTTGGTGAGAGTAGAAGGATTCGTGGTTTTGGAAGTAAAAAATAGCTGGTGGTGAACTATTAACGGCTCTAGTGCTTTTCTCTTGCGATGGGGCTGCTTCTGGCCACAATTCAGAGAATTTAACAGCAAACGTGATGGGGGTCAGTGGGAAGAATGTGCTTTAAGCCTAGACATTCCCAGTTCTGAGGAAAGGCCTTGAGTGCTCCAGCCCTTTCAGGAAGGGTAATAACAAACACCTTCTCCTTTTGATGTCCCCCCCATCCCATCCCATCCCATCCCATCCTCTGCTCCAGCCCTTTCAGGAAGGGAAATGACAAACACTTTCTTCTTTTGATGTCCCCCCCATCCCATCCCCAGCCTGTTCTGCCCCCCAAATTGAACAATGTGTTTCTCCAGCTGCAGTTTGCCTGGCAGCCTGACAGGGTAATTGAGTGCAAATGGAGAAGACTTAACAACCACAGCCTTCTACCACTGCGTCCCTGCTGCACGTGATTTTTTTGCTCTGCATGCTTGTATCTCCAAGAGGGATGCTGATATTTCCCAAGCACTGTGCAATCCAAGAGAATTCAGTAGAAAAGATCACCAGATGAGGCATCCCCACATACAATGAGCTTTCTCTTGTATGAAGGATATTCCCTTGCTTATGAGATGTTCCCTTTAAACAGGCTACCTGGAAATAAGGGGTTACTGAAGAGATTGGACCGGTGTGGCTTTTCCTGACATGCCCTATCTGCCATTGCTGCCAAGGCTCACTCCTGGGCAGTGAGCTCCCCTGGGCTCCGCACCGCTGCAGCCTGAGCCAGGGACCAGGCTGCTGGCCAGAAAACAGTCACGCTGGGCATTCAATACCTCACTGGAGTAGGAGCTATATCCAGCGCTGCTCTTCCTCCCCAGCAAGAAGTGACGCAGAGACAGTCCTGCTCTCCTGAGCATGCCACAGCTCCTGCTGTCTCACTCCTGCGGGCACGGACCTGCATTTCCCCCGGACACAAAGCAGAGGGGTGAGTTAATCGCTCCACAGCTGCAGGGGCAAAGCAAACTCTCCACGTACCTGGGGATGCAGCACAGCTCCAGACCCAAAGCTGTGGTTATTCTGCCACAGAAAGGAAAAGGGGGAACAAGCTGCTTTGTGTGTTGTCACTGCAATGCCAAACAGTGCTGAGATTGTGTGTGTCATGGGCACAAAGTACAAAGTCAGGATCACAAGGGCAACCATAGCTTCTGCCTCCTCCCTCCCCAATTTTAGGTTCCCCTCTTTTTACTCTGCATGGGTGGGAGCAATGCAGACACCAGCAAGAGGGCACTCTCTGGGAATTCACTATTCAGCATCAGCTTCCCCTCCAGTTTCATTGATCCCAGGTATCTCTTGCCTCTGCCCTTCCTCCCCTGCAGCACCTCCACCTTCCTCACTGAAGGGGCTGTGCCTTGGCAGGGCTGTTTGGCCACTCAAGAAACAAGATGTACACTGGGTAAACCCACCCCTTCCTCTTCCTTCATGGTCTTAAGGTTACCAAAAAAAAAAATATTGAATCAAGAGTGCTGCTATCTTTGAGAATTTCTGGCCTCTCAGCTGCTGCAGCTCCAAGTTCATTAGTCACAAGTTTTATTCTGATTAACACTATGTCAGCTTCCATCTCCAAAGTGATTTTGGTGTTTATTTTTCCTTCACGGCCCCAAACAAATTAATTTCTGTGCCTGATGTAGCCTGCTCCTTCATCTCAGGTCCCCTTAACTATTCTATAGCATTGCTTAAACATGCGGTATTTAAGCTAAAATAAGTTAATGTTTTCTTAGGTACTTGAGATAAAAGCAGTGACTCTGGAGGATGCATACACCTTTGTTTTGACCACCCATGGATTAATTTACCCAGCTGCCAAAAAGTAAGTTACAATGAGTTTGAAGCTGGCCAGCCCACAGGTAAGTTCTCAGTACTGCTCAGTGCACTTTCCATCCTTACATGCAGGATGAGAGTCCCCTTCTAACACAAGTGCACAGCAACTGAGACCAGTGGGATTTTACATCTCTTTGGAAAAACACAACATAAGATTGCTTGGGACTGCAAACTACCCACTTTGTTCCTGTGCATGGGACAGCTGCGTGTTGGGAAGGGGCGCAGAAATGCAGGGGGACGCTCCTTTGGGATGCAAAACAAATGAGCACCAGAAGGAGGAGACTAACCCTGCAGGTGACAAAATTGAAGTGTGGCAGTAAAAAAGGCTTCACTGGGCTACAGAAAATCACACAGATGGTGGGAGAGCTGGGCACAAGGCTCCTGTAAAGAGCTAGAGGCAGCATTGGGGTCAGGTTGACTGGGTCTAGGGCAGAGAGCTCTGCCTCACCTCCCCAGCCCTGGACAATGTTTTGAAGAGGGGTCAGCCACTAGGAAGTCAAAAAGCCTAGGAAAGGCTCAGTCTCATGTTTTTGGGTGCTTCAGGCTGTGCTGTAGGCATTCTCCCAGCTGCCAGAGCACCTCTTGCCCTGGCGGGGTGCACGGTTTGGAGCGCACTGAGGATTTTGGAGGTGACAGCTGAAAGGTCACCGCGGGGACCGGTCACTCACCACCTCCTGCCCTCCAGCCTGCGGGCACTAGCTTTTTTCCTCTGTCCCGCTGCTCCCCAAGCACCTCCATGGTGCCAGCCAGCCTGTCTGCTCACAGGTCCCCCAGAGGGCTTTGGGGACAATGGTTTCCTTGATCCCATCACACTGGGGGGGTCCAACACCACAGCGGGAGCACGGGCGAATGCAGCGGCAACAACCAGCAAGCGAACACACACGTAGGCGCCAGAAGGGATGGTGGGGGGTAAAACCGACTTACATCAAGCTGGGCCACGCTGCCTTACGCTGCGAAAGTCTGGCACGACCGCCCAGGCTGCGTTTGCACACATGCCGCCTTCTCCCTGTCTCTGAAATGCTTCATCTGCAGCTGGGACTTCCTGGGAGGAGTCGGAGAGGCTGCAGGGAGGCAGGAGCCGAGTTACAACACTCAGAGGGAATATATCGTACCGGGGAACGGGAGGTCTCGGTTCCCTCTCTACAGCAGCAGGGTGAGGGAGGAGAGTGGGGGCAGGTCGTTTCTTCCCTGAGGCTTGGAGCCAGACCTGCCAGAGGATTTGTGCTGCCTGGGAAAATATCTCAGCATTTATTGTTCAGATGGAGGCCCATATCGGCATTATTATAGCATGATAATTTTTGTGGTATGGCTATAATTACTTTGGCATGGCAATGGCTGGGAATTTTCCTTTGAGTGAAGCTTTCTGTCATTTTGAAAAAAATGAATTTTTAAGTCAGTCAGACACTTGCAAAAATTCCACCCTGTGGGCTTAATATTGTTAGAGAAGAGAATGGGTCGCAGGTACAGAAGGTGGAAGCATCAGCGTTATGCTCATCAGAGGTTAATGACCTGCTGTCACGATACAACCTAAAGCAGGATCCTGCAGCGTCGTCTGACCCCTGGGCTGTGGAGGGTCAGAGACACAGACAGCAACTTCAGAGGGGGATTTTGGCACACGGATGCAGGAGCTGAACTCTCCACCAGTCATTTGCTCAAGTGAGGCGTAGAGAGCAAATTACCCTCTCTCAGCTTCCCTCTTCCGTTTGTGACGAGGCTTTACATGCACCGATGAATCAGGTCGTGTAGCTCTCCTGGATGAGTAATTATTGTCTCCCTTTCGCAGGAGGAAAAAGTGAGCCACAGGGAAAGGAAGCAGCTGATGTCTGCTGTGCCAAAGGTTCCCAAACCCTCACCCGACGTCCGGCCACTGGGCTCACAGCATCCCTGCCATGACTAAGCGGGAGGGAATGTCAGTGCAGGCAGATGCAAGCTCTTTGTTTTCTAAACTTCTGATTAACTCAAACACTGAAACAAACAGATGGAAGGAAAACATGTGTTTGCCTCCCTAGGAATGTACACAGCACATCCTGAGCCACCTGGGGGACTCTTTCTCAGGAAGTGCAGTGACAGGACAAGGGGTAACAGTTTTAAATTGGAAGAGGGGAAATTTAGATTAGATATTATGAAGAAATTCTTTCCTGTGAGGGTGGTGAGGCACTGGAACAGGTTGCCCAGAGAAATTGTGGATGCCCCATCCCTGGAAGTGTTTAAGGCCAGGCTGGATGGGACTTTGAGCAACCTGCTCTAGTGGGAGGTGTCTCTGCCCATGGCAGGGGGGTTGGAGGTAGATGATCTTTAGATCTTTAAGGTCCCTTCCAACTCTAACCATTCTATGATTTGTAGCTCGATGCCATTTTCTCCTGCTGCCCTCGCTGTGCTTTCCTTGCCCCCTCCTCTGCCAGCCTTGTACCTTCCCTGGTTGTTGTTTGCCTCTGAGCTGAGCACCCTTGACCAGCTAAATTAGCAAAAAGCCAACCTGGCAGAAAAGCGGGCAGTTTTCTGTAAGGTCTGTGGGTTGAACTGTCTCAGGACAGGGTGGGTGTGAATGCTAAAGGCACTGCAAGGAAATACTGGTCTGGGTAGGGACCAGAGAGGACTGCGGAGAAGGGATGGGCAAGAAGGAGCACAAGCCTCGACTTTCTTTGGCAGGATTTGGCCTTTGTGTTGGTTCAACAGTAACTTCACCTTAATGTCCTCTTGAAATTCAGCAGAAATTGCTAGATAATATGCACATGGCCAGCGAGGAAAAACACACTATCTGACCTTCTTGGAGTTTGTATTGTAAAACTCAAGGAAAATTAGGACCTTCTCTTTCTTCAGGTAATTTTAATTTAACAAGTGCATCTAGACACAAACAAGTTTTCTTCAAGATTGTTTTTTTAAGAAAAATACCTAGCTATTGCAATGGGCTGGTGAGTCTGTCCCCTGGTAGGAGGGATCATAGCTCCTCTGGTACAGGTCCTGTGCCTATGGCTACAGGAGGATGCTAAGACCTATAATGTTCCTAGAAAGCTGCAGATATGCTTATTCTACTATAGCTGTGATCACTGGTGTTAACAAGTTAAAATTGGCTGCACTTAACCACTCAGAACTGCCTCTTGTACACTAATGAAATTATAATGAATGCCTTCGAACCATCCTTTATGAATTTTTAAAAAAATGATGCTGCTCAGTGTCCTCCAATGAGTCAGCCAAATGAAAATAGCCATTACTGAATCAGCCTGCTTTTTTCGGGTACCGCAAAATTACTGTTGGATACATCCTTCTAACACATCAGTGTTACTATTCCTGATGCAAAGAAACAAACGCTGTATTTTTCAGTGGCCTTAGTCAGGGAGCTGTTGTTATAGAAATGGAATGGGGTTTCCAAAATATTCCGTCACATAGGTTGGTTCAGTGCAGAAAATCCTGTTGCCAGAGGTTGATGTTCACAAAGGAGACAGAGGAGTCCTGGAAAGACTTTATTGGAATAAAGGGAGAGTCCACTGAGACATATTCCTGTGGGGTCTCTCAATTTTCCGGAGAATGCAGCCTCCATTTTATCCTAATTCCCTGACTGTATGTAACCCTCTTCCTTTCCCTGTTGGCTGAGGTACTTGGAAGGTACAGATTTCTCAAACCACCTATTACATAAAAGTTTAACTTTTGTGTTTTTTCAATTGTCTAGCTTTTGCATTTTCAGTTAATTCCCTTATTTTTCAGTTATCTCACTCTTGCAGTTTCAATCAACTCTCCTATTTTTTTCGGTTATCTCATCTTAATCCTGCAATTTCAGTTAACTTCCCTGCTTGTTGAGACACTCTTATCCGTATTTTATCACCTGTTTGCAAAGACCCTCTTAACCCTATCTTATCAGTTCTTAAGGAAAAAGTGGTAAAAGCTGCAATTTAAATGTTTTTTCATTCTCTTGCTGTTAGCCAGCCTTAAATGTTGATACTGGTTGTATGCACCATTGCATCCAGCAAGATGTTCACCAGATGTTCTCCACGGATCTAGACCATGTCCCCCTGGTCCCTACGGGGGACATCACCCTACGGATGATGTCTATGGCCTCAGTTATTGCTTGGTGGTTTGAAGGACGAGAACTGTCCGTGCCTCAGACATTTGCTCTCTCCTTGGTGTGTGAGAGGAGGACCCATGGCGGTGGGGCCTGGGCTGTGCACCATCCCTTCTCCTGCACAGGGCACAGCCACCAGTGAGGTAGATCAAGATCAAGCTGATTTTAACCATTTAGGAGCTAAGGAAAGGGCTTAATGTCACCGGAGAGGAGGTAGAACCTCGACAAGGGAAGACGTGGCCTCCTTTTTGCCTGTGGGCCTGGGGGTGACACACGCCAGGTCCCGACAGCCGAGTGGATGCTCCTCTCAGGGTTCTGCACGGCTTGAACCACCCTGAGGGGCTAAAACTGAAACAACATGATGTCAGGTCACGGCAGCTATCATTTTTTACCCTTCTGTGTTTTTACAGCAGCAACACCAGCCTGAGCCAGGGCCTGAAGCTGTCCTTGGCAGACATGGCTTTCCTCCCTGTTCATCCTGAGGGAGAGGCTGCCACCCCTCAGCGAAGAAGGCTGCAAGACCCAGTTGCTGTACATAGAACTACACGAAATGAAAGAATGACAGAAGGCTTCACCATGGTTGGGTGATAAACCTTAATAAAGAGGTAAACTGTTTTTCTTTGACAAAAAGAGTCAATTTTGGACTCCAAGGTCCTTTTGTCCTGCCACAGGAGGTGAAGGCACTCACCTTCCCCTTCTCCTGCCCAGCCCTGAGGCTAGAATTGTGGCAGCCCCTTTAAGACTCTCCCCATTTTGCGCGCTGCCCTACACCAAGATGGCGCCCCCGCCCTCACTTCCCCTCCCCACCTCTCCCTCTCTTCGCTATCCCTCCCCTTACCGCCATCATAAATCTCGCCCCTCCACCCCGCGCCCTGCACAAAGATGGCGGCGCGCCCTTCACGTCACGCCCTCTCCCAAGATGGCGGCGCCCTCCTTCGCTCCGGGGTAGGAGCAGCAGCGGCGGCGGCTCGGGACGGGACGGGCTGATGGCCGCCATGCCGGGCGGGTGAGGTCAGTTCCGGGGTGGGGCCGCCGCGGTGCAGTGAGGGGCGAACAAAAGGAGCCGGAGCCGGTGTGAGGGAGGGCGGGGGCCGAGGCGGCCAGGTGGGTGCCGGCGGCGCTGCGGGCCGGCTTATGCCGCGGTCTCCTCAGCGGCCCGCGGTGCCGGACGGGTGG